ATATTAGTTGTTAGCAGGTGATTCTGAGTAGACTTCATATCACTTCCGAATTTTCGACTTTCATGAACTTAGCCTCACACATGCAATTTGTCGTTAATTCTTTTCCTTGTCCTTTAGTTTGAAATCATAACAGTCAGTGATAGTAATCACAAGAATTTCTTATTACCGTTTATCTATGTTCACACATATGAACTATGCAATTCCCGAGATTAGTTACAAGGTCAGAATACAATCGTTTTCACGTATCAGTATCTATTACACAACCTAATTATTCATTAAAAAAGAAGAATATATTTACAAATATATTCTTCTTTTTTAATGTCTCAAATTAACTCGGCGCCCAAATATTGTGAAACTATTCGTTCAAATTTAGACGAAAGTTCTTATTTACTAATTATTCATGCCTGAAAAAAATTAATGATATCATTTTAGTTTAATTCACAATTACTTATGAATACTAAATCATTCTAGAACGAATAAAAATAAACCATGAGACAGCCTCTAATCATGGTGATTCGGTAGTCATGTTCAGATCTATTTAGAATTTAATAGAGTGCATTAGATTTTAAAATTACAGTCGGATAGTTAATTGTTTTCATCATTGAACCATTCTTTTAATTCTAATCATGAAAGCATCAAGTTATTAGAAATCTGTCTAGCTACAAAATATTTAAACTAGGTAGCAACAAAATGTTTATGGAAGCTGCACATTTTTCCTCAATGGTCCTATCCCCCTATAATATCAAGTACAACCTAATCAGATTTAGGCCTAGTTCAGTTTTCATAAACACTAATTTCATCTGTCATGTTGAGTATCTCACTAACCGACTAACAACATTAATCCCTTATTATTCATATATACTTGTTTTCTTGATCAGGTAACGACTTTATTTGATAGCATCCAAAATTAGCCTTGTGATAGATTCCAACTAACAACCTTCCTTAACGATGTGAGTTCCTTAAATATTCATTGTAGATAATTCCCATTCAACTTAATTTATATATTCGAATTTCAATCTTTTCCACATACACATATACGGCTCAGGAAACGCTGTTTCAGGTGTTTAAATCGATCAAATGAAACATATTGCTCATAATTTTTGAATAATTTTGATCTCCTGTTACTGTCATACGGATAACTGTTAAAAATCAAGAATAACCAGACAACTGTGTTGTCCTAGTTGCAGTTTCCTAGCAATTTTTACTTACAATCCTATCGGGGATTGAATCAGGGACCCTCAAGTCTTGTTGCAAGTCGACTAAAATTTTAACCCTTTGTGTTTGGAATTTAACAGTGTTTGTTTGTAGCTTTAATCAATTCACTGAATGCCGTCTTTTTATATCTCTCAATAGAAATAGGAGCCCATTGAAATAGAATGAATAAAATTTTATGTTTCATTTTCAGTCACCATCACTAGTATTGCCGTTATTCTCTTTCGCAATCTACACTCACATCGACAACTTGTCCCTTTTCGTATTATCGTATAGAAAGAACATTGTTTTGACACTCATTTCAGTCAACATTAAAAGCTATGAACTTAGAGGTTGAGGCTAATCCATAGCATATTGATTCGATTGTTTTCGAAATAAAGCACGGCTTTCTTCGATTTTTTAATATATATCAATATTTATTTGTGTTCTCATGGCTCGTATATACTTGATTATAACTCATCTAATTTTTTTTCCAGAAAAAACACTTTCGTTCCCTAGGTTGTCTTTTTTTATTATCAAGGATCATGTATCATCGACTTTTTGTTTTCTAGAGCAAAGTAGTTAAAGTAGAATGAAGGAAATAGATTGTTTGTGGCTTTTGTCTACATGTATGTTTATATGTTAATGTCCGAATGATATTTCACTAGAATGAAAGAAATGTACATGAGAATGGGAGTGAAGATATATATATATATATATATATATATATATATATATATCTTCACTCCCATTCTCATGTACATTTCTTTCATATATATATATATTGTTGAGTCGGAGTTACGAACGGAAGTTGAGTTTCTATCGCTGTTGCTTATAAGTGACTGTGGTTGATGCCGTGGTGTATAGGCATTTTATTATACAAGGGATCTGATGTATGATAATATATCACTACTGTATTTGTCAACCAGTTAGCTTCTCTTCTCAATAAATAAATGTTATGCATTTGCGACAAGTTTATATGAAATGGACGTACAAACGTGTTTTCATAGTAGTATTCTCCTTTTTTTATGTCGTTGAAAGACTAAATCCTAAGCATTTAGATAAAAACGGTAAAATCAGTATGTCTGCAGCATGTTATTCTTCATGTTCATTCCTATTTCTCAAAACATACTTTACAGTTTACATATTTTGCATACATATTAGATGAATTTTCGTCAGTGAAAATCTGAATAAAAATTTCTAGTTTGAAACTTTTTAGCAGTGTACATTCATATCCCCTCTATATTTATCCGAGAATCAACGGGTCTCATAGTGAATAGAATATCATCCTATCATTAAGTTAGTATTTAATTTACCAACATTTTTCGACTGTGGTTAACTAATGACGTAACGTGGAAATAATTCAGTGTTACCAGATTGTGTTCATTCCACCAATCCTCGAGATTTTCCGCCCAGACTTCCATCTTAAAGTTTGTTACTAGTGAATACAAGGGGTCATAGAGATGGTGCAACACAGTGGCTTGTCACGTTATCGGACATGGCTCAGAATAGAAGCTAGTGGTAATCGTGCTGTCACTTTCTTTTACTTCATAAATAAAATAACGTAACTTTTTTTAACTGAAAGGATTCTTTTTTATTGTACTTTTGTTAACCGAACCACCTCTCTTGTTATTATTGTTATTTCACTCTTATACACTAATTTATGTTTGTTATTATATTACTTTTTCTTATACTAACTTTATGTTCTCTATCTCTTCACATTCTCATTGTTAATGTGTGGCGCATGTGTATTTGGTGCCCCTTTGTACCAATATTTTTGTGCTTAAATAAATGAATAAATAAGTTCAACCAAGTGATTGTTTGGGAATTTCTGTATTATTTAGTAATGGAGTGTTGACTTTTGATTACACGTTGAATACACTTATCCTGTTCTACAATTGGTGTTTTACAATGACATGTATCGGTGTAGTAGATAAGTTTATTTCCTATTTAATTAAAATTAATACCTTAGTATGTTCAAGATAATAATAATAATAGTACTAAGTGATTTCTAGTAAATTAATAAATCTCTTGACTTAGTGGATAATGTGACAGTGTATGAAGCAAACTGATTTACTCATTATTAACATCAACACTGGGATACAAGTGCATCTTTCTATATCTAATGAGTTCCAAAAAAGGCGTAATGCGCATGTTGAATTCCACTTTTGCCGCTTTGCAAATTAACTAAATAACTTGTCACTAGATGTTAGTAAGGAGATAATCCGCTCAAGATTTACTCATGCCACTAGAGACTGATCAACGTTAACAATGAGAAAGCAAAGATAAGGTAGTTACTTTTTGTCTGTTTTTCGTTATAATTTTTTTTGGTGGCGAGGGAGGCAAATGGGAAATTTCGTAGAGGTTTAACGAAAAAATAGCATGGTTCTAGTGTGTATATTTTAATCGGAAATCATTTATTTGTGTGCTATCCAACTAGCAACATATCCCGTTTTCTATTGTATTTCATCACTTAACACTGTTATATTTTAAAGGTTTTAATAGGATCTGTAGTTAAATCTCCTTTCTCACTAAGTCCCACTTACTTTAAATTTCTTGGAAAAATTAAACAAGAATGTTAATTTTTTAATCAATTACAATACATTCATTGCGTTCTCAACTACACATACAACCTTCTAAGTTTATTTCATGAAAAATTTTAATAAAATATTATAACATTCACGGAGTGAATTTCTCATTATAGTACCAGTGAAATGCTTGGCTAGCAAAATTGTAATATAGTTTCATTTACGTTTTGAACATGGTTTTACAGAAGTAGCTGAAGTAATAGTCTTGAAAAGTATTCATGGGAATTTTATTGCATAACTATAACAAGTATGTGGTAAGATAAGAACAGTTTATTTGAACTCAATGGTAATTATAGGTGTGAAAAAAGATGTTATTCATTTTCAGTATCAATACAGTTAAAAGTTAATCATTGTTTTTAATTATAAAGGTCAGCTTTCAGACGTACCAGGTTCTACGTTGTGACCGATTGGCTGACTTTCAGTCCTTCGTTGTCTATGATCTAAATGAATTTGAATAGAGCAGATCTATGTTCTATCATGGTTGTCTTCTATCAGATTGCTCGTTATCGGTGTCAACACCATGTAGGCAATTCTAACATTTGATAACATAATTTAGAGTAAAGTGGATATCGTTATTCAATTAACAATAACATCTTAAAATACTAGCCCTAACCTTCTTTTAAAGAAAAACAATAATTATGGTAACTACATGTTTGGTAATCTTTATTGTCAAAAAAGAATATTGTAATAGTGGCTGTCTGTTCAGCTTAGAAAAAGTGTTTTCCTTAAGTCTTTCTTGTTCTTTATTAATTTAATTCAGATGTATCTTAGTATATACAATTACATTGACATTAGGACTGAATGACTACCTATTAACGAATGCTATGTACCTTATCTAATCTACTTTCATGAATATTAATAGAGATTATTTGTTAATAAAGTTTGTATTTCATTCATCCTGTCCCCTGGATACATTTAAATAATACAAGAACAAGGTTTCCAGGATAAAAGGAATTAACTTTACTGTGCAAACCTTGTTATTCTTCTATTGTTTAAGGTTTGTATTAGTTTCTATCGTCTATTTAATGCATTTTTTCTTAGTTCTTATCTGTTGTTGATTGATGATCTCTGTTAGATTTCAAAGGAATTGAGAATGGTGGCATAAAAACTCACTATAGACAGTTTTCATTTCATTTTTATTATAAATACTCATTTATCAAATATAGTTCCATAAAAATGTTTATTTTATATCATGTTCTTTTCAAACTTTGATCATTGCAGTTCTCAAAATATATTTAATCTGAAACCTGTATCGTCAGTTGAAGAAATGAGTACTGAGAATGATCATTTATCAACATCATCGTCATCATCATCAATATCAAAGCATTCGAATTGTCAAAATGATTCTAGAACTAATTCATACAATATTTCATCGGTTAACTCGTGTTCTTCTTCAAGTCCAGTTTATCACCAAACATCACTTAAGCCTATTGATCACTCAAATATCGATACGTCCGGCAGTTGTTCTACTGTTATTGGTAGTTTAACAACAACTCCTGTCATCATCACTGATTCTGTGAATTCAGTTTCGATTAAATCTTCTGTTAATAATACTACCGATTCTATTATGAATATTGCTTCTTCATCTACCAGCATATCTACGGATACATACACAAGTATGGTTAATCTACCTTTCAATGATTCTTTGGTTTGTCGAAGTCATTCTCATTTACCTACATGTACCATGAATTCTTCAGGCTTCATTGATTTAACCCAGAAAGTAAGTATCTATATATTAGTTTATTTTTCGAAAAAATATTATACTACATTTATCACTTTCTTTTGGAATATTTCACTATTAAGATTATCTTATGATTAATCCATTTATGCGTGGAGTTATGAGTACACAATCCCTAATGCCATCTTTTATTGAACAGATAACTGTTCAATACACCCTGGTTTTCAATGATTCTCCAATTGGTATTAGTTACTCTCTCTACATGTCTAAATATGTTAATTGACCAGATAGTAACCAAACCAAGACACAAAGCCAGTTTATAATGTCACTTACTTTGAGACTGAACTGCATTAGTTGGAATATCACTTATACTACAACTACATGTACTACTTTATTCATCTTGATAATTTGATCTCGTTGTGGTAATTTAGAATAATAACTGAATGAATCAGACTTAAATGATCTAATTATATAATTTAACTGTGTACTGTAAACAATAGTCGAGCTGACCAATATGTCTTTTGTCATTATATTCAACCACTCATGTTATTGCAGTATACTACTTTCAATTGATTATTCAGTGTTCTCTTATTTTTTGTATGAATTAATGTATGAAAGAAGTAGGTATTGCTGTCGTACTCTGTATCTAGATAACATTTAAAAATCATGCTTTAGACTAAAAATTATACATTGAAGATAAAAGTTAAATATATAAAGCATAGTTGATAATATTTTATTCTAATGGTTTATTTCCAATTATTTGTAAGATATTTCTTTTACTTCTCAGTGTGTATACACTCAAATCGAAAAAAGTTGGCTTACAGAATCATATCTCTATATAGAATTATATCTCTGTATGTATCTTGTTCTTTCACCTAACTCGTTTATTATTCATTAATGTAATAGGAGAGAGTCATTATTAAATGACAAAAAGTTGTTGAAAACACAAGTCTATGTGTATCATATTTAACAGTTGAATTAAAATCCAACAAAATACCTAATTTAGAAATAGTGATAATATGCATTTGTCTTTCCCCTCGACCCACCTCCCCCTGATTGATTCAGTTATCTTACTTAACCAACTACAAACTTATCTTACTGTTCCTAGAACTATAAAACTGTCTTATCATAACCAATCATTTTGTCATTAATAATAGGTTGAATATCTAATGAGGTTTAATGGAAATCACTTTAATAATTCATTTCTGCAAATCACTTGTTATTATTATGTAGAATTTTTTGCTCTGTAAAATTATCAACCTTTTATTTATTTTATCTTAACCATGTTTTTTCTCCTCCTATCGTTATTATATTCTCTTCTTTGTTTCTGTTAATAAAATATCTAATCATGATAGAACAACAGTAAATTTCTTCTATTTTTCACTATATTTTTATGTGCTCTCTACATCTAAGAATAGTGGATAGAAAATAAGTAGGGATTTCTAACTCAAGTTCATTTCTATTTGCATTTGTTAACCACTAAGCCTAAATATTGTTGAGACATCAAGAAATATGTAATATTAATGTTTTTGATGGAGTTTCGTTCTCTGAGCTGGATGGTTTGGTTGTGAAGCTTTCGTCGTTCAGATTAAATTAACACAAGTTTAAATAGTGCAAATAATACATCAGAAAAGTAACTTTTCTACTCATTGGAATATAAGAAAAAATATATTTATTATTAACTTTCTACCCGATGTTCAATTTATTTGAAATTATCAAGTCCAACCTTGGCAGTGATACTTATAAGGAGATTCTAGTTCTTACAAAATACACTTTACTGTTTATATAGGAAAAATAACTTTAATAGAATCACCAATGATCTATTTGATCTGTTTAACTCAGTTGGGGGATTTATGTTGAAACAAGTGTTAATTTAGTAACATACAGTTATCACATAAACTGATTGCTTCTCTAAACTAGTTCCACTGTTGTTAGGCTGTCCTCAGAGTGAATCCTATTGAACGTCACATAATTTATTTATTTATTTGAACACATAAATATTGGTACAAGAGGGCACCAACTATATATGCGCAACACAAAACAATGAGAACGGGAAGAGAGAAAAGGAGCGTAAAAGAAAAAAAGAAGAACAATAACGACCAGGTTAGTGTAGGGTAGTGCAATAATAATAATAATGGGGGAAACGGAAAGGTACAATCAGAAGGAATCTTTCAGTTAAGGAAGATACGACCACTGTTTACGAAAAACGTAAAAGAAGGTTACAGCAGGATCGCCACTGGCTTCCATTCTGAGCCATATAGGCGGCCTGTTTGAATATCTGGGCTACCTGTTTCTGCCATCTGATTATTTTAACAAGTTATCTGTTTTTATTTGTTTTAATTTATAATTATGTCCATTAATCGCATAACCTATTCAGGCGCTTTTATGAAAAGCCTACGACCTTTCGCTGCACAAGTTACGAAAAAGTACTATAAAAGGCATCGTGGTGGTTGGCAATATGCGTTAAAGAGAATGAACATTAATCGTATGTCAATTCCCGAGCTACTAAATTCTAACTGCCGATCACTAATCAACAAAGTGGACTATCTGCAATTCCTACTTAGTCAAAATACGTATCGTAATTGTGGTGTCATCACAATTCAAGAATCTTGGTTGAATGATTTACAGGATGACTGCCTTGTATCACTACGTGATTTAAAAATTTATCGTCAGGATCGATCGAACAATAAAAAGAGGTGTGGTGGCGGTGTAGCTACGTTTGTAAACATAAACTGGTGTCGATCTTCGTTTGTGTGTTTTAAGTTTTCAAATGACTTTATCGACTGTCTAACTCTAAAATGTCGTCCAAAACATCTGAATAAATACAAATATGTTTATGTTACCAATATCTACGTGACTCCAGATTGCACATCATCTGCACTATCTGTTTTTGCTGATGAATTCACTGAGTTCGCTGTTACTGCCTTCAGTGATTCACTTTCAGTTGTATGTGGTGATTTCAATTCATGTGACTGTAGCTTCCTTACGTCACTAGGTCACCAAAATGTAGTGGATTTTCCTACCCGTTTGGATGCTCATCTAGACTTCGTCTTCATTAATGATGTGGGTATATATGCGACTCGTAAACGTGCTCCATTGTCTAGCTCAGATCACTGTATAATTCGTGTTCCACCTAAAGTATATGGAAAGCATGGAAAGAGTACACTCTTACGTCAAACCAGGAAAGTCAAATATAGGAATTACTCAGAAAATATCCGAAATCTGTAAAACATGTTTCATACGACTAACTGGGAATTATTTACAGATGACTCACTGGAAAACACTACTGATGTTATCACTTGTTACCTTAAATTCTGTTCTGATATTTGTTGTCCCACTGAAACCATTTTTGTAAGTTTTGATCGACTTACATCTTCACAACTAAAACGACTACGATGGATGAAAGAAAGAATGTACAAGGAGAAGAACTCTAATGAAGTTCGTATGCTAAATGGTCTGATAAACCTAGAGATTAGACGTCTCAACTGTATGTTTACTCAAAAGCTCTTATCTTGCAAAAAGTCTCCAAGTATGTGGAAATTCTTTAAAGAACTTACAGATGACAGAAAGTTTAGAGGCGATAACCAGCTGAATGTTTATGACTTAAATAAGTCTTTTGTACGTCAGTCATCTGATGTGATGCTCCCTCTATCCACGGGTTTAAAAATTAGCTGTGTTCCTACTTTCACTGAAACTGATGTACGAGGATGTCTCCAGTCGCTTAATTCATCTCGATGTTTGGGACCTGATGGTATCCCAAACATCCTTTTTAAAAAATGTGCCGACGTTCTGTGTCATCCGTTCACAACTATATTTAACAGATCCTTCTCATCTAATCTCATACCGAAAATGTGGAGAAAGATGAAGATAATTCCTGTACCCAAGAAAGCATTTGGTGATAAGAATGTAAAATTTAGACCTATTGCAATAACTTCACCCTTCCTCAAAACCATGGAAAAATTATTAATACTTCCACTTCAGCCTGCGATAAAAGAGCATACTGACCCATACCAGTTTGCATACAGGCGCAAAAGAAGCACTTTAGATGCTGTTGCAGTTCTGCATCACAACATAGTGTTCAACTTAGAAAAGGGTAAGAAGTATGTTCGATGTGCTTTTCTGGACTATACTTCAGCTTTTGACTCTATACCAAGACAACGTTTACTTAACAAGTTAATCAGCGTCAACACTGACAGCTGGATAACCAACTGGCTATGTTCCTATCTCTCTGGAAGGGAACAGTACACTGTGTTTGGAGGAAAGAGTTCAGAGTCTCTACTGTCTCATGAAGGTGTACCACAAGGAGCTGTTCTTTCACCTCTTCTATTCTCCTTTTGTCTGCATGACCTGCCATCTTCCACAGAAACCACTTTTGTGAAGTATGTGGATGATCTCACTGTATGTATGCCTATATCTTCCTCTTTACATCCCAGAGAAATGAATGAGTTTTTGTCTCGTACTGATTGTTAGTCTGTTGTCAATGGTCTCATACTTAGTCCGTCTAAATGTCAAGCTGTTAACTTTAGCATGAGACATGAACGGAATCTAAACACCATTTTGAGATCCCATAGTGCTTGTACCATCAGAGACTCTTTGATAAACTCAGTGTCGAAGGTCAATTATCTTGGTGTCACCTTTTCCTTTGATCTGTCTTGGTCTTCCCACGTTTTATCGTTATCGAAGATGATTTTCCGTCTGACCTACTACATAAAGAGATTGCATGCTCTTGGAATTACTCGTCATTTACTCTTACAATTTGTCAATGCTTGCATATTACCTATTATTCTTTACTGTTCTCCATTATTCTTTCCCGGGCTTTTGAGAAAAGACTTTGCTGTATTGCGAAGAGTGCTGAAGGCAGTTAGCAAGATGTGTGGTGAATCTTTCGAGGTCATAATTAATATGGTTGTGGGTAGACATTTAAAATCATGCAAACTTCTGGCAGGTGTCATTTTATCAGATACCAGCCATCACCTCCACTCTTATCTTTCTCCTTGTATATCTTCTGGTAGAACGAGACGTAATTACATTAAAATCCATGC